TCTAATGGACTCGCAGAGAAAGGTGTGCAAATAGTGAAAAGACTGCTAAAAAAATGTGCACATTCTGGCCAAAACTTCTGGTTAGGGTTACTAACCTACAGGGCCACACCACTAGAGTGCGGATCAGCTCCAGCAGAGTTATTAATGAGAAGGAAGACGCGTACACTCCTGCCAGATTTCGTGTCTGAACCAGCTAGACCCGTGTTTAAACAGAAACAAGACAGAAAAAGAGGTCGAGCACTTTCCCAGTTAGTAGAAGGAGATTCTGTACGAGTTCGAGACGATAAAGATAAAGGTTGGTCAGCGAAAGCACAAGTGACCTGTGACAACGGCCCAAGATCGTACAAGATACAAACTGAGAAGGGTACACATATACGGCGAAACCGCCAACACCTACTGAAGACATCGGAGGAATTCGATCCTTATGATGAGTTAGAGTCTGAGGCATACGACACCGCAGACGAAGATGCAGAAAGCCCTGAGGCTCGACTGCCAACGTTCGCTGTCTCCAGCCCAGATACATCAAGTCCCGGTAGAAGCCAGCAGGATAATAGCACAAGCACAAGTCAGCTGGATAATAGAAATCAAGCGTGCCTACAAGGAAGTCTGCCTCTGATCACTCCTCGGCAGTCTACTCGTGAAGTTTGTGTACCTAGGAGGTTAACGTATGATGAGAACTTTAATCAAGTATGCAAGTGAAGTGCAAACTGCAAAGAACATGATTTGAAATCTACAAACGGCATTACAGTGTATATATTTGTACATATTTTGAGTAATCTCTATATTTTATTTGTATTTGTATAGTGTATATATTGTAAGTAATTTTCTGTTTAACTTTTAAAGAAGAGGAGGTGTGTCGGTTATAAAGCTAGCTGAGCGTGGGCGAGCTAGGAGAAGACGACGAAATAAAAGTGACGGAAAAGCAGCCGCCGGCACGTAAGCGTTCTGAAGCAAAGTGTCCTCTTGATTTGTGCCTATTAACCACGATACAAGAGGAACGTTAAGCATGCTGGTAACCACTCTAGGCGTCAATTTATTCATTCATTTCTAGGCCCTGGTGCCAAGCTGAGCTGGCGCGAAGACAGCCGGCGTAACAAGCATTTTTTTTTCGGTGTTTACCATGCATAATCCTATTCTCGCCCTTTAATTAACTAAACATAGTTCCCACGTGACGTCCCTTCTTCTACTCCCGCCCGCCGACCGCCATTGCCAAGTATTTGGAAGCAGATGTAAACGCTGACGCCGCCGCAAGTGCGATGCTCGATTGCTACTTATACGGAATTCGTGTCGCCCGTACAGCGCGATGGCGAAAGCCATTCGCCGTGAGTTCTGCCCTTAGTGTTTCGAAGAGCTTGTGGACCCCACACGGCCTCGGTGTGAGTGTAAAGTGAAGATATGGGACCGTGCTGATCCGTACACGCAACGCGTCAACGCGGACACCACTACGGATGCGGACGTGCAACCAGCCACGACCGCATGTGGACATAATTAACTACCTGGTTTTGCCGACGAACTGCGTTTTGCAACAACAGATGAAGGCCTTCAAGGCCCTGGATGCCCGTAACTATTGCACGAGTCTATGGGTGAAGAGCCTGACAGCGATGCGTCTCCCATCGAATCGTATCGTCGTGCTGAGCGAGGCGAGTTCACAGACAATAAAACAAGCGTCTTTATGAGCGCCGAAGAGCCGAAGGTTTGCCTGCAAACGAAGAGATGTGCCCGTATACTTACCGCATTATAATTCGCAGAATCTTAGCCGGATAAACGGCGCCGCCGCCGCAACACCATCGACACAAGTGTGCTACAAACACTTCACAAGCAGAGAAACGGTGAGATAAAGGTAAAAGCAGATCCCTGCGGCGTGACGATGCCAGACACTAAACACTGACTCGGCCGCTATGGCAATGCGCACAGGGTGCGAACAGAAGCATCGAGCGATCCATGTAGAGTTGAGCGGTGTATTTCTTACCGGTAACGAAGTGACGACCGCGGACACGGACACTTTGGATGTATGCGAGCACGCCAGAGGCTTCGGGGCTTCTCGGACAGCAGCTTTGTACGCTCACACTGTCGCGTTACCTTTGGCAAACGGTGCAGCCCTACACTTGGCTCTGTGTTACTCTGCTGTGCAGAGGACTTGCTTCTGCTTCGGCAGCTGAACATCGCGCACATCGGCATGACTGCACCTCTGCGACCGCAACCGCACACCACAAGAAAGAAATGTGCACTGTGTGCGCCGCAAACGCCGTGGCGACGCAGCCAACGCAGCAGCGGCCAACGCTGCCGGCGCCGATCCCGACACCGAAACTATGTCAGCACCTGGTAATGGCACTGACATATCCCATAGGCCCCGGCTCTGACGTGCGTGAGAGCTATGTATAGTTAATTACGGTGTCCTCTTAAAAAAAGGAACAGCTGATCTACAATATACTTGTCTAATCATTCAATGCTACTCGGTTGTGTAGATGACGCTCTTCGACTTTCGTGTATACAGGCATCAAACAATAAGTCAGTAAGGCCGGATGACCAAAGAAAGTAATGGAAAATGTTCTGTCCAGGAACTACCACAAAAAACGCCAGATATTGACAGGACACGATGCTGTGTCCTCAACATCTGGTTTTTTGTCCATGTTTTACGGCGTTAAGGCCTTGTCGTCTCACCACCTATTTAAACTCGCACCACTCTGGAAAAAAAATCATTCTCTTTGTCCCTGCAACCTATATGAGTGTATGGCGTTTGACACGAAACAGTATATGGTTGGATATATGACTCCAACAATCGCGTACTTGCAAATACTGTACTGCGCTGTGAACAAGATTAATTTCTGCTAACTTGAGGTCTACTGACATAAACGTAGGTCAGCATAGCTAGACGATTATGGGAAGGAAACTCAATCATTCTGACTTATTTTGCCCCTGCAGACTCCAAGAGTGTCTGATATTTGATACGAAATAAAATAGCGTTGGACTGAATAAATAAAAAAAATAGCGTACTTGCGTATCCCTCAGCTTGTCCAAATCGACGTCATCTCGGCAGATGGCTCTCTTGCATAAGGCTCTCCGAGCCGGATCTTTCAGTAAAGAAAAGGTACGAACTTTCGGCCCGTACTTATAATTACCGTGACAGTTTGGGACGCCGCAGCAGTTCATTGCGCACGCCAGATAAAAGAGAAGGTTTCAAAAATCGCGGCCACCAGGCGAACCTAAACAAACCCGCCGCCGGGCAAATTAAAGCAACCATTTGTTGCCCCTAGTTGCCTACAGTGCCGAAGATACGCCTGCCGAATTTAGCTAGATCGGGGCACGTGATGTCTGTGCCAGGGGCGAGGGAAGGTGAAAGGGCCTTGGAACTTCTAGAGAGTGTTGGCACAGCACGCGACACCCACGAGATTGGAATGAATAGGATTGTAATAGCTATATGACAGAGCAAGAACATTTTCTAGCAAATCTAAAATTATTTTAATTAAATATATTGTTCTTTTAGTTACAAATATCAAGCAGCATAGAAAAAAATTAACGGCAATACCTTTGTGGTATGTATCTTTATGGCGGTACTACAATTTTTAGGCGGACTACTTTTCACCACAGAGGCACTTTTTTGATAGGTAGATCTCTCTCCGCCAGTCTTGGTGCTTCAGTTCATCTTAGGATGAGACGAAGTATAGTTGAATTTGACATTCAAAAGGCATGTCACAATTGCGCTTTTATATTACGAAGTCCTTTATTTATCAAGGAACGCGACTGCTTCGCCAGGATTACATTGCAATATGGTTAGTAAGATTTGACATAATTTTTCATATGTCTGGAAAGCATTGATTTGGTGATGGGCAGCCTGACTAGAAAGCAAAACGCCCATGACTCTAACCTTAATACAACACAACTTCAGTGCGTGAAAAATATGCTTAAAGCGCTTACTCAAACTTCCCCACGTACTTTTTCTTCTTTTTTTTTAATTACGCATGACGTTTGGTGCGTATTCGCGGCTCTAGCGAAACGGACGGTATCTAGCGGGAAAACACTCAACTGGCCGGAACAGGTCCTTTCGCGATTGGTGGTCGTCTATTGTAGCTTCCGTGACTACATGTTGTCGGATGTTTGCGCGATAAAAAAGTTGTCCCGGCGACTCTGTTGTAACTGTCAGCATGTTCCCAGGTTGCTCTGCACGCAACCTACGCAACCGCGTAAACCAGACATTCCGCGGTTATCAACGTCCATCAGCACTGTGGAAAGACAGTGGGCAGTCCTTTCATCGCTTCCTCAAAGAAAGACAAGACTCTGGAAGCTCGCTTACGCCAAAAATCACCGCAGGTTCGAAACGTGGAGGATAAAAAGCGGGACAAACCTTTTGAGTTCAATGCTTGCTTTCTGAGGCACCAGCGCTGTGCATTAAGCTGGCACATGTTACGGCACGGCCTATATAAGACCGCCATATCCGCCCGATAGTGGCGTACCCTACAGGTCGCTGAAGTCGCGAATAAGGTAGTACAAAGTGGCCCGGTCGTGCTCTCTTGGGGCATTCCTGCAGCTGATTGAAACCAGTTGAATGACGAACGCCTTAGGAGCCTTAATTTAGTAATTTAGATTATAACCAATTGTGCTGTAAAGAGTTTGTTCAAATGTGAGCCTACCGTGAACAATTCGTAGCTAAATGCAGAAGCAGACATCACTACTTCTACAAACATTGGGACTCTATTTGCATGAAGACGACAAAAGACGTTCAAGAGAGCACATTTTTTCAAACTATGCTCTGGTTCATAAACCTTTATTCAAAATCCTGTTGCGTGTATCGTATAAGAATTGCAGCGCTACATACATATGCTATAGTTTTTTGTTAAGAAAAACAGAAATGACACATTCACGTGATTGATTTCAAAACAAGGACTTAATTTCATCTCACATATTTCTCTGCTTTCCATGCATGATGCACCATCCAATTGCTTTTTTTCTTGCTTTGTCTTGTTTATGTCTTGTTTATAGTAAAATTGAAGAACAAATATGACTTAATGCTTGTCGGCTAGCTCCTTGTCCATCCAAAGAGTCATAATACCAGTACCTTCGAACTTCTCGTCCATTTTACTCTGCATTTTTGTTACATTTTCTGGCGAAAAGTACGATTTCCAGCCACCAACTTCACCTTTCCGAACAAAGCTGCATTCAGACGGTTTAGTTTCTTGGTTTCCTGAGACTGGCGGAACATAACCGCGCCCAAGCAGCTGTGCTATCCCTTTTGCGTCGGTTCGCAGTACATATTTCATGAATTCGACGCTACTCCTTTTGAGAACGAGTTTCAGAAGCTCGCTGTCACTCCGCACCATATCGCCGTACTCCTCGCCCAAGAAGCGCGCCAACCTACGAACAACTCCCGCCTTGTCCCTATGAATCTCCTCGTAAGTCACAAAAAACACATTAGAATCGTGTCTGTGCTCGTAACCCGAGAGGACATGGCCAAAGTAGTCGCCGAAGCCGAACCGACCATCCAGGAACGTGTCCAGGAAATCGTCGAAAGTACCCTCAGCGAAGTCGAATGACGGAAAGTCCCGCATCATGTGGAAGTTTGACACGCAGCAGTCCCAGGGATTCCTGGCTACGTAGACGTATTTGGCCTTGTCGCTGAGCCGCAGTCTGTTCATCGGAAGGTGCGTCCGTAGGAGCCTCGGAGCATCCGACGACGACTCCTGCAGTCCCTGAATCTCCAGGAATGGGGCCCTGTTTGTGAACTCGGAGAATGTCCTCATCGATTGGCCCTTGTTCAGGAGGAGCTGGATCATTTGCTGAACCAGATGGGTTCCCGTTCTGGGAAAAGTCACCTAAATGTTTCGTTCTTTTATTTATTTAGCTGTTGCAGCTTCAACTCACTTCTGGTGACATCCTAATTAGCAGCGGTCTCACTGCTCGTACATCTTACTCAAAGGCAGCCTGGAGACGATGTCTAAAGCGTGTGGTCTGCTCACAGTTGTCATAAAAAAGTCTCTCCAGATATTATCGAAGCACGCATGTGCATGAAGCAAATATGCTTAGAACGTGCTTGAGCCGTATCCGCGGATTATTCTGTCATAAATGACTGCGGAGAATTCCTCGGGTGTTTCGTAAGATGTTTGAGCAGCGTGACTGGCGGTTTTGTGGATCTATCGCCACTGCTTTAATTAAAACACACACAAACATGATGAATACATCTCGTTATACTTTCGGTAGCTGTTTAGCTAGTCAGGGATGATACCTCGTTATACCGGCAATCTAGAGAACGTGGATTCATCAGATATACCGTAAGTATAACCATACGTGGCCATACAAAGTTGAATAACTCCAGTACAAGTTTACAGTAAAGGCCAGTTCACACTCTTGCGACCGAGTTAGACCGAGAGAGACCAGACCGGTTTTTTAGCCTCTTGCGACTTCTTAGGACCAGCTCCGCAGCACCGCATCCTGTCCTAAGAAGTCGCAAGAGGCTTAAAAACCGGTCTGGTCTCTCTCGGTCGTACTCGGTTGTAAGAGTGTGAACGGACCTTAACGTTCTAAAGGGATATCATTATTCATCTTCTAAGTACTGCATTCTCAAATTCAAGTAGTTAGCATTGAACTCCCCCCTCAATAATTTGAAGCGAAGTGTAGTACTGCATTTTCAAATTCAAGTAGTTGGCATTGAACTCCCTCGTCAATTATTTGAAGTGAAGTGTAGTAACCGACAGCCCAAGAAACGCAGGGCGTGGCTTCTTATGTTCACGCCCCTTTGCTTCATGATTCGTTCTTGCACATATCGTCTGATACCACAATCTCAGCAATAATTAGATGCTCTGGAACCGCCACGTCGTGCGTGTCTTAAACTGCCTGTGACTAGAGCTTACAATAGTTTCTTATGTCGGAAAAATGTCATATGCAAAATTCTTGTCAGCTATCCTCATCACGTCATTAGAAGCCGCCATTTTTCTCACATCGTCCAGTTGTGGATGAGGGGCATCGGCATTTAACTCGGTTTTCACAACATTAGGACCATTCATTTGTGCATTCAATGGGTCGCTGTTTAGTTTCGGTTCAAATAAGAAAAGAAAGACGGCCGCAAAATTCTGGGAAATGAATTCTCAGCAACGAGGTTGCAAGACTCGTCGCTCAAGCAGTAAACTTGGTCATTCAGGTCAGTGAACGGTCCTTATCGAAGACGTTTGTGTGAAGGGTTCGTACTAGACTTGCAGCAGGTGAATGTATTTTAACTGTACTGCTCCCACTCTGCCGGGACCATTGTCTCTGGGGCGAAACCATTCTGTTATTGATCATGAGTGCACTGAATGGCACTTTTCTTTTTGCCTCTGGTCCGATTGTCTTCAAGATTGTTGAAAAGGTTGTATGTCTAGTAGGCATGTTGTGCAGCAGACGCAGATGTACAATTAAAATCATACTGACCGTATTACAAGGAACCACCACACATACGTTTCCAGAGTACAGGATTTTTCTAGGTGACATGAATTGCTCCATTCGAAAGCAACAGCACATAGGTAATAACTGATGCGTGAGCGAATATTTCACCCACCCATTTACGCTATAGTACCTGTTAGCACGTATTTACAGTACAGCATCTTTCGCCATTCCGTTGCAACGGAAATGAGGATATGTTGGGTCACCTCAATTATGTCCCCCTCTTGAGGTTCAAACCCCAATGATTCCATGTAAAACGTGGGGTTATAATAGGCCGAGCATGCCTCGCCGTTGATCAGCTTGGTGGCAGGCGCCCGCTTGGTACTGTTCATGGCTAAATATGCCGTGACTGGTTGCTTGTCTGAAAAACAAAATATTCAATTTTTTTTTAAGTATTAAAGTAGCATGATTGGGTAGAAATAATTCAATAATGTAATATACTTGAAAGCTCAAAAGAGACACAACCTTTTTGCGAAAACGCATTTCTGTCTTTTGACTTCCTCTCGAGTCGCTGACAACTTCTGCTAAGTCTTCATGGGTTTAAATGGGGCGTGGGCTGCAAATCTGATATTCCGCGTGAGATCTTAATTCCGAAAAAATCGACATTAGAAACTCTGCAAGTCAAAATGCAGGTATATCCAGTTTATAAAAAGCACTAAAAACATTTGTTTTTTTGTCTCATCAAGAACAGTGCATGCTATTGTGATCTCTGGCAATAAAAATGGAGGTGTCTTTTTATGTGGTTCGTAAAAACGAAATAAGAACGCACGCATGTACACACTTGCACATACATAAATGCATACATACGTACATCTATATAGAGAGACATACAGGCATACATGCATGTATACACACATAATATTCTGTACAACACAAAGGATTTCTTGAAGACTGAGGGCAAGGACTAAGTGCAACACCCATGTATAAAAAAATACGTGCGTACACATGCACATATAAATGCAAACATACATACGCGATCAGCGTTCATATGTAGAGGCACAGCTGAAAGTCCGCTTTTATTGCTGCTACACCCCGTTTCACATAAAGTCCAACAGCAGCCAAAGTTCCGATCTGAGGGAGCCAATCGAGCAATGCCGAAAGTCCATCGTCGCGGCACTCGTCGTCTTTTGGATTTTCGTACGACCGGCTAAACCACCAATCTCCACTAGGGGGCTGGATTGCGCATTGAGCGAACAGGTCCGAACTCACCGGAAGTAAGTCGTTTGTCCAGGAAGTGACCCCTTGACGGGCAACTTTTTCAAGAAGGTGGGGCGAGGAAAAGGAAGATCGGGGAGGAGAAAGTACAGAAAACGCTTATGAAAAGAGGAGGTTTCCCCCTCTCCTCTCCAGCGTTCCGTTTGCTTTCTCCTCCCCGGTCTTCCTTTACCTCGCCCTACCTTTTTGAGTTGCAACGGACTATAGTTCAAACAGCGTTTAGGACTCCGGGTTTGTGCTTGTCATCTCAAGAGAGCCTTCTTGTTACGCAGTAACAGCGCATGCATACTCAAGTAGTCTCCTGGGAAGCCATTCGGTGCGAGAATTTCGAGAGCCTATTTGATCAAGTGTGCATATGTCCCACGTTCAAATGATTTGTTCTTCGGATATAATTCAAAACGGGATTATTAAAATCCACTCGAAGAAAAATAAAAATCAAACAACACGGAACAAAGCATTGACTGAATGCATTGAGAAGCCCAGCAGACGTCCGACTTCTGGGACCATCATCGAACTTCCGATGGCTTCGCTCGCACAAGGCCGGGAGGGCAGCTATGCGCCATCCAACCCCCCTATTCGCCCGTTGGCTGGGATTGGATTGGAAGCAGAGTTGGCGTTGCATTTGAAAAGACAATACACTTATTCCACGTAAAGATCACGCCCGTAGGTTGTGATTTCGGTTACATTTAGGAGATTCGGACGGCACCTATATAGAAAAAGGGACTAAGAAGCGGCCTCTTCGTTTTTCTTTTTTTTTTTTTTTTTTTTTTTGTTTTTTGGGCGCTTTCTTGGCTGCGGGAAATGGATACTGCAGTCGACTTGGCCGAGGTACGTATTCGCTTGGCGAGCTCAGATTCCCGCAATAATAAGCTCCAAAATAGAAATCTAATCACTTCAACTCCACTACACGCCATCGATTCTTCTGTTTTTGTCGCCTCGTTCGCATTGTAAAAAAAGTCGAAGTACTTACCTGCACACGACCGACGATGCCGGATACGTCGGACTATAATGGCAGTATTAAAGCATTCCTGAAACAAAACTATTGTGCGAAAACATGAAAAAAAAATAAACGAGAGCACACAGCTGTTAGATTCGCCGAAAATGTTTCAAAGTTGTTTATTCCTTTATTCCTATACGGAGTGGCGCTAACTGCTCATTTCTGCTCGTATTATGGGGACGCTACGTCGGGATGACGACTAAAAAAAAAACTTGTAAGTTTTGTTGCTTTGTAGTTTCCGAGAATTTAATGCCAGAGAGGTAAATAATGACACGTACCTGTGGAACAATGTTTCGGTTTTGTACGACTCGTTTCACCTTATGTCCGACCGCAAGCGACACCACGATTCTTCGGAGCCGATCGAGCAGCGCCAAAAAAGCGCATCCTCACGGCAGCCGTTGTCTTTGTTCTCGAATGCCCTTCAGACATCTTTGCTTTATTTTCATAGACCCACTCAGCCCTCTGATGTGGTGGCGCTGCTGTCGGCACTACGCATGCGCAGGCGCCTCAGGGAAATCTGGTTCCTGTGCACGTACAATTTGCTCACACCCTGTGTGGGCAAACGCGGGCTCTTTAATAAACAGTGTGTTGGTCCATATATGTATACTAATGTATGCAGACAGATTTTGTGAGGCCAATGTGGCAGGGAAGATGGCGCCTTGGAGGATGTCGGCAGACCGTCTATTGCACGATCTATGAACAGTTTGACGAAACCGAGTATAGCCAAGATGACCATTTTCGTGTGTACTATTAGTCTCGCGCTTTGCATAAGGTTGCTAATTTGCGGCAGAAGCTAAGAAAACTAAACCCATGTAGCACGCTAAAGGAATGCCCAACTTGGGCAAAGGTCTGGCAAACATAAGGGCCCAACTTTGGCGCAGTTAAGATTTTGCGCCATGCATCTGTGCTCCCTTTCATTTCATTGGGTGTAGAAAGAGGTGTAGCCGTACACCATTGAATGGGGTGCACCTGTGTTCCCTTCGAGTGAGATTTCTGTAGAAAAGGGTGTACATGTGCACCACACCAACGGGTGTAAACGTACTCCCATATTTGGGGTGCACATGTATTCCCCCAAAGGGTGTAGTATATGTGACAAGCACTTACACCCCCTATGGGTGTACCCCATGACACCCTTTTTTTAGATTGTGG